GGCACAAAGATAGGTTCTACAGTGTAACTAAATGGGAAAATCTGAAAGTTGCAATTTTTTCAAAATTATTGCCGCTGTGATTGAAGCGTAAACATCATTATCAAATTTACTCACTGAGATAACTCAGACGAAATGAAAAAAGGTTTAAATTCCCCTCCCAAAAAAAAGTAAGCCAATCAAAGTAGTGGAATCTACATTGCGGCCAAGTCGGTTTTAGCCTCACTCAGAAAGGTCAATTTTCATTTGGATACTGGCCAAGTATTAAGTAATACAAATAATAGAGCAGTGTTGCTCATAAAAGTAAGAGTGAAGTGAGATTATGAACTTAAGAAATAAAATACTTGGCCACAATGTAGATATCACTACTTTGATAGGATGACTTTTTTTGGGGGGAGGGGGAGTCTGGAACTTGACATTAAATTTGTTGCCTTAAAATAAAATGGCAAAAAGATGCGGATATATTTTTTTTTTTTTATCTATTTAAGGAGAGACTTAATTAATCATTGGTTAGTGAAATGTTGCCCGACAAGGCACGACAGGTAAAAAAAAATTACCCTAATTCCCAAAACATAATGTTTATAGAGTTAAAGGTAATATATGTGTAAAAATGATAAAAAGTCGTATAAATAAAAAGACCGTACTTTCCTTTTCCAAGTGTGAAAGGCTGTAATGTAAAAATATGTTATAACTAAAAATAAAGCAAATAGTTAATTTTTAACAATATTATATCGTGCAAAGAACTAAATATTCGACTCTCGTGATTAAGTTTCAACTTAATATCATATGTGAAGGGTTATTACGATACAAAAAAAATAAATTTGTCGAGAATGACTATTCATTTTGTAATTTTGACATATGTATGTTTAAACATAGTACTACCGATAAACATTGACAAAGCAACAAAATATCTTAAACCCTTTCCCCTAGTAGGACAAGAATTTTTTTTCTATATTTCACTTTTTCAACCAAAGTTTTAGGGATAGAAGTTTGAAAGGTAGATCTAATATGGGGCTCTAACATATACAATTTTCTCAAAAACCTGTATTCAAACTTTTTTTTAATATAAACCCTGTGTATACTGTGCTTGGTTTAGACTGAACTGGTTTGAACCTATTGTCCACAGATTCGCATCGAAGCGTTTGTTTAAAAATTATTTCATTACTTTGAGTTATAATAATTTCTATAGTGCCGTGACCGCCTCATCTCCACATTGCCCATACCCCACTATGCTCTCTTTATTTTTATAAGTTTGAAAAGTTCATAAATAAGTGTTGAGACTTAAACGCCAAAACAGTTCACGAAACGGCCATAATCTACTATGCAAGGTCTACTCTAATTTCATGATGATAATTTTTATGTTATTGAAGTGTTAAGTTTTAATTATTTTGTACCTCTAAAATTTGATTTCAAAGCAAAAGTTATATTACATTAAAATATGCGCCTAAAAGTTAAGGGAAAAAAAATTGTCAAAATGTTCATATTTTCAGAGAAAATTAGTGTCTTATGTTAGTTGGATCACCTTGTATATCATTGCGTTTAAAATAATATCGAACTTTCTTTAAAAGAAAAATGATTTAAGCGTACCTACATTTCATATAGAGGCACGTTAAAAAACAAATATTACCGTTGAACCGGATCGGTAAAGTTTTGAGTTAAAAGATAATGGTAACCATTTTTGTATATTTAAGTATTTTTCATCGATTAAAGGCATAAACGACTACAAGGACAATGTCAGCTAGGAGTCATTTGTATTGAATTTTTCTATGTGCAATAATATGGAGTGGTTATTATGGCTGATATGTTTTTTTATATCTATACGAATTTAAGGTGAATAGACGCAATAAAAAAACATTACTAACTGTGTGTTGTTTACACACTTTACCGTTTTTTATAGTATACTAGTGCAATTTATATAACGACAATTCAGAGTATAAAATAAAACCTAGTACATTATCAATTTGAAATTCAAAATTTTGGGCCTCTGAATAAAGAAATCTGTAGACGTTAGAAAATAAAAGCCATAAAAAGCCAGTACAGTTAGGTCGGGGCATAGTGGGAGTGGGGAGGTCACGGGCTTACAGAAATTATTATTACTGAAAGTGATAAAATCTCTATTAAATAAATACTTCAATGCCAGTCCGTGGATAGTAGGGTCAAACCAAACACAGTATAAATTAGCACAGTAATAAAGTACTATATGTAAGAGAATGAGCAGTAATAAGTGAGAAAGTAAGGGAGGTACAGTGTTAACAGACAAAAATACAAATATCGATAAAAACATTGTACCTAATGACAATTGTGCTTAAAAATAAATTTGTAGTCTAAGGGTGGATACGATTAGGGTTGATCTACCCATATATCGTTATTAATAATATAATGAAAATATTTTCATTACCTGTTGAAATCAGTAAAATATTTCCGGGTTTCGAGGACGAAGGAGTTGACTTTTTCTACTTTTAACCTACCAAAGTACCATCTGCATAAGATTTTGGATCTATAGAGGTGCTACACGAGCAATCCGGTTCATAGGAAAAAAAGTTATCGCGTTTACATAAACAAAACAAAACTTCATTATTAAGCCGAAAACTAAAATTAGTAATAATTGATCGTAGTAATGCATTTGTACAGGCCGTGGCAAGCCGTCAGTCATTTAGTTATCTACGCAAAAGTGTTCTATTTTTATTGCTGTTTAAAAAAAAACCTAAACTTCACACTATTTACTTCCTGTTTGTTTTTCCTCCCTGTTTTTGATATATTAACGTCAAAGCAGTTGAGGATATTTTATTGGCTATTCGAGTTTTACACTTAACCGGTCGTTGCTTGGCCAGTAGAGACTAAAAACCCAGAGTATGCTTAGGAAAAGATTCAACCTGATTCGGTCTAGCTAACCAACCTACAAATGTTTATAATTGTTTTCTGTTTTGTGTTTAAACTTATAACACATAGTCATTTTAGAATCCAGGAAGAGGTGCAATATATATGTATGTATATGTGTATATATATTATAGATTCACTTATTTAGTAAACCTGTTTCCTTTGGGACTTTAAAGGATATTTGAGTGTAGATCCGGCTTAGCCATCCGTGGACCGTGCCGTCTTCGGGTCTACCAATTAAAAACCCTATCGAATGTCGTTTCGGCCTAACCTAGCCAACTAGCCAAACAGACAGGTTACAATTTGGCGGTGGCGCCGGGCTTATATAAAATAGATAATACTTTTCGGAGTTTGGAAATAATTTTAACAAACCCCTAAAAAAACCTAACTAACATAATAAATACACTGTAGTATGAAACTGATGTGACACGGTACACGGTCAGCAGACAAAACATCGGATATTTTACGGGGGAGAACCGACAATCGAACCAGAAATTTTCCTAGGGCAACTGTTGGCAAGCCATCCGGTATAGAATCACGACAAGCAGGAATAAAGAGAGATTCATAATCTTGATATTCGGTAGCATGGAAGTTAGATATATGAATGGTGTACCATTCCCAGTTTCTGACCTATTTTCTGTAAAATTTCAAAAAATACATTTACACGCATTTCACAAAAGAAATCGGTATGTTAGTATGGATTTTATACAACAAATATACTCAAAATGTACTTGTTTACATAATTGTGCAAATATGCAATTTCGTGCAAACAATGCCCGGGTACCAAATCATGAACATACTACTACTGAAAAGGCTATTACTTTTTGTGGTAAAGGGTATTTATATATATATATATATATATAATATGTAATTTATTTATTGTTAATCTGGGGCAAGATTAATATAACAACAAACTGAAACGTTTCTCTGTAAAAATGAGTTTATTATATTATAAGGATATTTACGCTATTTACAACTTATTTATAAGATAATTTACAAACCTGTAAAAATGAGAAACAACATTCAATGTTTATTGATCACAATCTTGTCTCTCACAGATTACAAATTAATTTTAACAAATTATTTTAACTTTTAATATTGCTCTAAACCTGATAGTTACTTTATAATCAACTTAGTCACCTTCTCCTATCACATGTTGTTTTATCAGTACTCTACCTTATCAACTAACGCGGTAGAATTCAAATACTTAAGAAGTATACTTCTTATATATATATTTTTTTATTTTATCTGTCAACTACATACGAAGCGCATAGCGTCATTAGAGTCATTAGAGCTTTACCCACAAATCTATTATTTTTAGGAAAAACCAATTCTACTTTTTTTAATGTCAAATCCAAGATAATTGAGTTCTGTTTTTTTTTTTTTATAATTTTCAGACCGAAATATGGAATATATGAGGTTAGGACATTTATATTGAGTCTGGAGAATATTTGCGGCTGTCCCAGATGAAGTCTCCGAATGGTTCATCTAAGTAACTGTCACAGTAAAATAAAGTTTTCCAGCGTCTCGAAGGGTCAGTGCCAACCTCCGAGCTTAGACCTGGTGAGTCATTTGGTTGGTCGTTCATTGGACCCTATTATCTACGGATATAGCTGATGCTCTACACGAGATCGACCCGTTGGTTAATTTTACTTTGTATGATCCACACTCAAGCCGATTAACTAAGTTTTACACCAACTTGCGACGAAGATGCAATCGTGTTCACCATGCACAATAGATTATATTTCAATGTTTGAGCAATTATGGTTGTTGCTGTTCTATAAAGACTTCTATATGTTCAAAAGGCTGCTGCCAATTTGTTTTATTTATAAGTCTTATGTATCCCAAAGTGCTGTACTAACGAATACTATATATACTAATAAGTAAATTCAATACTTAATGCACAATAATAAATATATTTGTAAATAATAAATGCATTACAGATCATATGTTAAAAGTATTATGCAGTTGAAAATGATTACATATAGTACTATGAAATACGGTATTTTTTATATTCTTTACATTCATATTTTTTATGAGAATATAAACAGTTTGAAACTTTTTTATTAAGATACATTGATTTTTTATTTTTTATCATTGTAGATATTATATTGCTTCGTGAATGTTTAGAAATTCATGGTTCCTCTTCCTGGTATTCCAGTAAATTTTTCATTTATTTTACCGTTGATCTTGAGTGAACCTTTTCTCCATTTTACCTGCTTTAAATTCTTCGCTTTAACTTCTGGGACTTTTATGCCGTTGATCGTGAGTGCATCACCATTCATTTCTACGGTTACATTATCTTGGGTAAAAGTTGTATATCCTGAAACGTTTTCAATAAATAGAATGTGATAAAAGGTACGATAGTAATAAATTCGACCCTGACACTAAATCAGACTTACCTACATTACCACTGCTATTATACTGCACACCTCCATTACCCTGACGATTAATCTGCCGACCTCTATTACCAAAGTTATTAAACTGCATATCTTTATTATTTCTGTTATTATACTGCCAACCTGTATTATAACCATCAAATTGCATGGAGTCTGAAGTGTCATACCCGGATGATTCACTGCCACTGTAGTCTACTTTTAGAAATCATATAAAAATAAAAGTAGTTGAAACAATTTGATACAATATGTTATTTTTGCCATAATAGTACCCATAGGATGTGCTCATAGATTCACTAAATTCAATTTATTTCTTAAACAAACCTTTTTTTTTTTAGAGTGAATTTCTAATGAAATTCATACAGCACTGTAAATATTGTGTTAAAATAGTATGAATCAATGCCTATAATGTTTAAACAATTTATGTTTCAGAATAACAAATCTGTAAATACACACACACAGAATGTTTGATGATGAACCCGTTTAAGTATGTAAAAAAAAATTGGTATAACCCACTAAATTTTCTAAACTGCTGATCGGATTTCTATATTACGGTTGAAATTTATGCAGTTTAAATCACATTGCTTCTAATTGTTATTTTTGACTTAACGTAGCAACTTGATTAAAATATATATGTTTAATTAGGGAACTTAGATGACATAATGTACAAAATAACAGTGCCTATATCCTATAATATTATACTAGCAATAGCTATGTACAGGGTGTTCTAAAAGTTCGAAAACGGCCAATTTTTCGAGCCGTTATTGATTTTTTTTAAATTTTGACTTTTGTGTGTTAGTAGGTGTTATTTTATGCACATTTAAGGCTTAATTCCAAAATCTTACCTTAAGTAGTTTGTGCATGCGCGGTATCAACTTTTGAAATTTAAATGGGAACCCCCAATTTTTTTTTAGATATTCTGTTAGATTATTAATTTTTTAAGAAAATTTTGATCAAATTTTAAATTTCTGCCAAGTAGTTATTGTTATATTATTGCTCAAAAATGACAAAATTTGACAATTTCGTGCTATTTGTGAGAGCCAAACTTTCACTTGCAACGTTATTACACCGTATCAATAGAATGTGATATAAGGTATGATAGTAATTCGACCCTGACACTAAATCAGACTTACCTATATTACCACTGTTTATACACTGCACACCTCCTCCATTACCCTGATGATTAATCTGCGTACCTCTATTACCAATGTTGTTAAACTGCCGACCACTATTACCAACGTTGTTGAACTGCACATCTTTATTATTTCTGTTATTATACTGCCAACCTGTATTATTATCGTTAAATTTCAATTTTTTTTTAAAATAAGATTTTGGCATCAAATTGTTTGTATTGATGTTTGAGCTCAAACCTTGATTTCCAAAATTACCAAAGTTACTTAAGGTTCCACCAGCCCCGCATCCTTGATTGTTTGCACCTGTTGTTTTTTGTTTTGGTGATTTCTTAGGGATCTTTGATTTTGCTTTGCCGTATAGTTTAGGCATATAAACTTCATCTTCGCTATCTTCGATTGGTGAACTCGAGTTTATGTTATTCAAATTTACATTGCTTGAGTTTATGTTATTTGAATTAGCAAGTCCAATATTGTTTCCACCTTTCTTTTGATATCTTTTATCTAGATTAAAATAGGAGAATTGCAGTCAATAAAATGTTATACTAATATGTATTCTAAAGTTTGTTTTTGAAACAATCATTATAGTATTATTATTTCAATATTTATTTTAATTATTTTTGTGTTGACCTCACATAGTCATATTTTTTGTTAAAATAAACATTTTTGGTATGGGTCTCGATTACTTTTTTTGGCATAACAATAAATTTATTTTCATCAGTGATAACACATTTTGTTTGAACTTAAACGATGACATATTCTGTAAATTATTGTAAAAAAACCAAGTTTACGACCAAGTTACTTTATGACTAATTTTGATATCAAAATGGAATTTTCACTGAACAGTTGTAATTTTTTAGTAGTATTCAAGCATTTTTTTTAGTTCTATCCTTAAAACTTTTTTTTTCAATATTTAAAGTAGCTAAAAGTTAAAAAATGAATTCAACTCTCACCTTGATTTCCAAAATTACCAAAGTTACTTAAGGTTCCACCAGCCCCGCATCCTTGATTGTTTGCAACTGTTGTTTTTTGTTTTGGTGATTTCGCAGGGATATTTGATTTTGCTTTGCCGTGTTGTTTAGGCCTTGGTGAACTCGAGTTCATGTTATTCCAGTTAACATTGTTTGTGTTTATGTTATTTGAATTGGGAAGTCCAATGTTGTTCCCACCTTTCTTTTGATATCTTTTATCTAGATTAAAATAGGAGAATTGCAGTCAATAAAATGTAATACTAATATGTATTCTAAAATTTGTCTTTTAAAAAAAATATTTTAGTATTTTAAATTAGTTCAGTTATAATTTCAATATTTATTTTACTAATTTTTGTTCTGACCTCACATAGTCAGATTTTTTGTTAAAATAAACATTTTTTTATGAGTCTCGCTTATATTTTTTGTAATTTTTTTTTATAATAAAAAAAATTTGATTATAAATCACCATGTAAAAACATAACTAGATGATTATAACTGGTACAATATTTTACTTGTTTAGACCTTAAAGTATTATAGTTATTTTTTATAACCTGTTTTTGAGCCTTGTCTTGACCCAGTATCCCCAACCTGTTGGCCATTGATCTTCATTCCATTACCAGTCATGTCAAAGTGAGGTTGGTTTCTTACATCATATTCTGGAGCTAATTTGCCGTTGACCAGGGCTCCGTCGTCGGTACATTCTACACTTAAACCCTGTTTTCCCACTCCGGTTCTTGAAAAATCTTCATCTCCAGTTGTAGTCTTGGCTTTTCCTTTACGTTTATTGTTGAGTCCTTTGTTAAAAGAGGTGATATTTTCAATAGGATTCATCAAGTCGTCGTAAGTCGTCTTGGTAGCGTTATCAGTTGGTATAGTTGGCTCTCTAAATAGCCTTCCACGGTTTTGATATCTACTTTGGTAGTCGTTTTTCTTATGCGATTTTTCACCTAGATAAAAATATTAAAACTGTAATAAATGAAATGATACATCAATATTTATTCGGAGGCCTAAAAATTTTCTTCGAAACTATCATTATAGTATTCTTGAATAGTCCAATAGGTATTAATTTTAGACTCATCTTTGTTCTGACCTCACATAGTCTGATTTGTGTTAAAATAAACATATTTTTAAGAGTCTCGCATGCTTGCTATACTTTATAGGCATAATAATACATTTATTTTCATCGGTGAGGGCACATAAATACTATTTCCAAAATATTTTATTGGAAATCGCCATGTGAAATTATAATTACATGATTTTATCTTATTCAATGTTTTATTTGTTTTTTTTTTTTTTATTACCTGCTGTTGAGTGTTCACTTGACCCGGTACCGTCACTATCAAATGGATTTAATATCGGCCCCAAAATCGTTCTACCGCTATATATTATATCTTCGAATCCTGGTTTGTAATCACCGTTCACTGCGATCCCTCCTTGTGGGTACCAATCGATCTCTATAGCGTTGTATGGATTGACTCCTGGAACTATTCTACCATTGATCTTAAAGCCGTCGGCAGTTCTTTCAAAGTTTATATTTAGATTTCCAATCAAATTTCCATAGATTCCATCTTGTATAGAGTTCGAGCTTGCACCTTGATTTCCAAAATTACCAAAGTTACCGAAATTGTTCCCAGATTGTCTTGGAATGTTCGTGCTGTCGCGGTAGATTTCTTCAGAGTCTTTGCCTTTCGAGTCGGATTCATCATCGACATTTACGCTCAGTGAACCGGCTTCACTGGACCCGTTGATTTCAACATCCCAACTTTTTGCTGTAGTATCTGTATACGTAAGAATATAACCATAAAAACTATGTAGATACCAGAGATACCATCAGTCAATTATAATAAAATAAAACAGTTGAACTTATTAATTTTAATCTTTAACGCGAGGCTTAGAAGATATTGGTTTTAAAATGGTCAATTTTATGTCTGACGCGTTATATGTTGGAAACTTATTTAAATCAAATATTATTAAATTTTAATTACAAGGCAGCTCTGCCAACACGAGATAGCGATTTTCTTTTCAATTTAATTATTTAATCGTAATTATGTTACACGTGAATCCTAATATATTTAACTGTGTAAAATATGCCTTATACTTAATAGTTTTGCCACCTATAATTTCCCATCAAAGGTTATTTATAAACACAGCCATAATAATTAATAAAAAAAAACTATTATATTTATGTCACCAATATGCTTGGACCCCATTATGCCCCATCCACATTGAAATATTTTTTTTTATAATAAATCTTATAATATATAGTTACCTCTGGAAAACAAGACACCGCCTCTGAAAAGCAAACGTTTTTATAAAAAATCAAAATTAATACACGAAAACTCTAGATTTTATGAAATATGTTTAAAAGCTTTTAAAAAATAAATAGTCTGAAAAAATACTTACGCAACGTATGCTGCTAGGCTAAGCAAAATAATAATTTGAATATTTATCATATTAACGGTTATAATATACTGTTTAGTTCAACTGTAACTAAATAGTCAGCGCTTTCAGTATTTAAAAGAACAATTTCAACGAATACATCTACGTTTAATAAATAATAAGTTGAGAATGGCTTTATGTTTGTTCGCATGAAAAAAATGCATATTAAGTTTTGGTTTCAAGACAATATAACTGTCTGTTATAACGCCCGAGTTATTTGTGAGCATGCTTAAAACACTGGTTTTTATTAATTTGTTTCAAACGATAGTAAGAAATATAATTTTTGTTCTGAAATATTTTAACAGCATGTAGCTGCAGCCAAGTTGTATTTATGAGACCCTAAGTTCAGATACAATAACAAATTATTAAAGGTGAAAGAGATTGTGGTATAACACACTAAAAGTTCGGACGCAAATGATTGTAGTCATGAAATTTATAATAAATTAGGCATGTATCATTGTTATTTAATATCACACACAGCGTGTTCCAAAAAGAGGTACTACATTTTTATAAGACATAACTTTGAATAGAACATTTTTTTTTTTTTCGAGAAATCTTTATTGACTTAATGAAATTTTATTTAACTTGTCCAACCTTGGTGAGTACCTAGTTGTGTAGTAGTGCCTTTATATTTTATAACACATAGTTGAATGTAAATTATACTATAATATTATGTACTATTACAGTACAACTAAATTAAAATTCAACCAACAACATTCAACGATCAGCTGTTATAATTATAAAATAATAAATAATGAGAAGTGTTTTTTTTTTTTCATCATTAAATGGAATGAGAGTACAGATATTATATTAAAACGAACATATTTATTAATTATGGTTATATTAGTTTATTTCAAATAGTTAATGGAAAATTGTAAATTGTTTATCTGTTTGATGGATTGATGTATGTACAATATCAAATAATTTATTTAAAAAGCCAGTTCAGTGGAGTCAAGGGAATGATGCGAACTGTTCAAATTCTTAACTTGTACTTAAATATTTTTTACAATGTAGCAAACCGAATGTTTGTTTAACTACACTAATTGGCTAAAATAATTATTATAGACTTGTCTACCCTAATAACAAAATTACATTTTTAAAAACATTATTGTTATTAGGCACAACGCTTTTATCGATATTTGTATTCTACCATTATGGATTCGCATCAAAGCGTTTATTTGAAAGTAAATGTTATCAGCTATCACTTTCAGTTGTTATAATATTCTGTAACCCTATTTGTGCCTGAACCTCACTGTTCTGGATTTTTTATACTTGCAATTTGCATTATACTTTTATGTCATTGCCGGTAAATTAATGTTTTAGTGTAAGCACCTGTTTATATAACTTGATATCTCAAAATTCAAAGGTTGACAATATTCACATATCTAACATACAATATTAGAATTTATGGCACACTGATATTTTGAACACTGATAAAACCTATATCTATATAGTAAAGCTGTAGAATAATTTTAACGTGCGTCGTGTTTGTAACTTTTACATCTTTTTTTTTATTATTATAAAAATGTAACATATTTGATTTTATGAAAATAACGTTTACCTTGCGAATGCCTCGATAGCACCGTCAGAGTATATACTTTGCAAAAACTAATATAATAAAGAATTTGTTCATCGATGCTACAATTTTTTTTTTTAAAACCAACGTCAATTGTTTTATTTAAAAATAATATCAAGTGCCCCGACTGGACTTCATATTAGAGACTGAAAGGTTAAAAGCGTTCAGAAATAAATTATTTTATTAGAAATATGCTCTGTCCCTACTATGCCTTGAGCCCACTGCAATTATTGCTAGGTATTTGCAATTAACACTTGAGCTATAAAATAATTACTAGTTATATATTCACGAGTTATCCTAAAACTTCAGTTAAGACCGTAACATACACATTGTCGAGAGACTATTTAGGCTAAAGTTTATCAGGAAAACATTTTTCAATAAATTAGTTAGTGAATGTTGTACAACAGTTATTTAATACAATACTGTTTGTCAATTGGCTTCTATTAATTTGTTTTGATATGATAAATGGTTGGAAACGTTTAAACTTGATAATCTAGAATTTTATTTCTTATTTTTTTTTACTTATTTTTTTTTTGGGAAACAATCATAATTTCCATCGTAATTTTGTTGAATATTTATATTGAGTCTGGAGAATATTTGCGGCTGTCCCAGATGAAGTCTCCCGGAAGGATCATTTAAGTAACTGTCGCGGTAAAATAAAGATTTCCAGTGTCTCGAAAAGACAGTGCCAACCTCCGAGCATTGTTTCTTAGACCTGGTTAGTCATTTGGTTGGATGTTCCTTGGACCCTACTATCTACGGATATAACTGATGCTCTACACGAGATCGACCCGTTGGTTAATTTTACTTTGTATGATCCACACTCAAGCCGGTTAACTAAGTTTTACACCAACTTGCGACGAAGATGCAATTGTGTTTACCATGCACAATAGATTATATTTCAATGTTTAAGCAATTATGGTTGTTGTTGTTCTATAAAGACTTCTAAATGTTCAGAACGCTGCTGCAAATTTGTTTTATTTATAAGTCTTATATGTCCCAAAGTGCTGTACTAACGAATACTATATATACTAATAAGTAAATTCAATACTTAATGCACAATAATAAATATATTTGTAAATAATAAATGCATTACAGATCATATGTTAAAAGTATTATTCAGTTGAAAATGATTACATATAGTACTATGAAACACGGTATTTTTTATATTCTTTACATTCATATTTTTTATGAGAATATAAACAGTTTGAAACTTTTTCATTAAGATACATTGGTTTTTTATTTTTTATCATTGTAGATATTATATTGCTTCGTGAATGTTTAGAAATTCATGGTTCCTCTTCCTGGTATTCCATTGAATTTTTCATTTTTTTTACCACTGTTCTTATACTGCACACCTCCATTACCCTGATGATTAATCTGCCGACCTCTATTACCAACGTTGTTAAACTGCATACCTTTATTATTTCTGTTATTATACTGCCAACCTGTATTATTACCGTTAAATTTCAATTTTTTTTAAAAATAAGATTTTGGTATAAAATTATTTGTATTGACGTATTGTATATTTTATGCGGTCGAACCAGGGAAAAAACAGATTAGTCGAGAGTAACGACCGCCGAAAGTTAGGCATACAAGCAAAATGTATTACGTTTTGAAATTAAAAACATGATTTTCTCAGAATGAACACAAATTGACGTTGATTTTTTTTTCCCCGCAGCCCTTTATATATTACCCAGTTTTCTTTTGATATCTTTTATTTAGATTAAAATAGGAGAATTGCAGTCAATACTAATATGTAGTGAAGTTCGAGCTTACACTTTGATTTTCAAAAATACTAAAATTACCAAAGTTTTCACCAGCCCCGTATCCTTGAACGTTTGCAACTGTTGGTTTTTGTTTTGGTGATTTCGTAGGGATCTTTGATTTTGCTTTGCCGTACGGTTTAGGCATATAAACTTCATCTTCGCTATCTTCGATTGGTGAACTCGAGTTTATGTTATTCAAATTTACATTGCTTGAGTTTATGTTATTTGAATTAGCAAGTCCAATATTGTTTCCACCTTTCTTTTGATATCTTTTATCTAGATTAAAATAGGAGAATTGCAGTCAATAAAATGTTATACTAATATGTATTCTAAAGTTTGTTTTTGAAACAATCATTATAGTATTTTTAATTAGTCCAGTATTAATTTCAATATTTATTTTAATTATTTTTGTGTTGACCTCACATAGTCATATTTTTTGTTAAAATAAACATTTTTGGTATGGGTCTCGATTACTTTTTTTGGCATAACAATAAATTTATTTTCATCAGTGATAAAACATTTTGTTTGAACTTAAACGATGACATATTCTGTAAATTATTGTAAAAACACCAAGTTTACGACCAAGTTACTTTATGACTAATTTTGATATCAAAATGGAATTTTCACCGAACAGTTGTAATTTTTTAGTAGTATTCAAGCATTATTTTTAGTTCTATCCTTAAAACTTTTTTTTTCAAAATTTAAAGTAGCTAAAAGTTAAAAAACGAATTCAACGTGTTATGAAATATTTTTTTATTACCTGGTGCTTGACTTGGCCCAGAACCGTTGTTATAAGCTGGATTTGATATTGACGCCAAAATTGACGTACTTCCGCAATTTTTTATATCTTCGAATCCTGGTTTGTCTTCACCATTCACTTCGATTCCTCCTTCTCGTTTCCAATATATCTCTATTACGTCGTATGGATTGACTCCTGGGACTATTTTACCGTTGATCTTTAAGCCGTCGGCAGTTCTTTCAATGTTTATTTTTGGATTTCCAATTAAATTCCCTGCTACCGTGATGTTTGAGCTCAAACCTTGATTTCCAAAATTACCAAAGTTACTTAAGGTTCCACCAGCCCCGCATCCTTGATTGTTTGCAACTGTTGTTTTTTGTTTTGGTGATTTCGCAGGGATATTTGATTTTGCTTTGCCGTGTTGTTTAGGCCTTGGTGAACTCGAGTTCATGTTATTCCAGTTAACATTGTTTGTGTTTATGTTATTTGAATTGGGAAGTCCAATATTGTTCCACGTCTCACAGTATACCTAGTTTTCTCTTGATATCTTTTATCTAGATTAAAATAAAAGAATTCCAGTAAATAAAATGTTATACTAATGTATATTCTTAAATTTGTCTTTTAAAAAAATCATTATAGTATTTTAAATAAGTCCAGTATTAATTTCAATATTTATTTTACTCATTTTGCTTCTGACCTCACATAGTTAGATTTTTTGTTAAAATAAACATTTTTTATGAGTCTTGCTTATATTTTTTGTAATTTTTTTTTATAATAAAAAAAAATTTGATTATAAATCACCATGTAAAAACATAACTAGATGATTATAACTGGTACAATATTTTACTTGTTTAGACCTTAAAGTATTATAGTTATTTTTTATAACCTGTTTTTGAGCCTTGTCTTGACCCGGTATCCCCAACCTGTTGGCCATTGATCTTCATTCCATTACCAGTCATGTCAAAGTGAGGTTGGTTTCTTACATCATATTCTGGAGCTAATTTGCCGTTGACCAGGGCTCCGTCGTCGGTACATTCTACGCTTAAACCCTGTTTTCCCACTCCGGTTCTTGAAAAATCTTTATCTCTAGCCGTAACCTTGGCGTTTCCTTTACGTTTATTGTTGAGTCCATTGGGTTGTTTAGGCCAATAAACTTCATCTTCGCTATCTTCGCTTGATGAAATCGATTCACTGGAGTCGCTGTCGTCATTGTACCAATTTTTGTTTGTAGTACCTTTATGTAAAAATATTTTTAATTTTTAATTTAGGAAAAACCACAATAACAACTAAATCTGGACAATAAAACAAAATAGTTTAATAATAAATTATAGGCTTGTACTGTTTATATTTATGTTAGTCATTTTTATTGATTTTGATACTTTTATTTTACACGGGACTCTTAATACTTTATATTTTATAAAACTTCTATGGTAATTTAGTAGTTTTTCCAACATTATAATTTATCCATTCGACTAGTTCAAACTTTATTCTCAAAAAAAGATAATAACACGCAGAATTAGGATTTTTTTTATTTTACTCAAATACATAATGTAAACTTTTTAATCATGACTATTTTAATCTAATAATAACCAGTAAAATTAGTCATGAATAAACGAAATCAATCAAGTATAAAAGTTAAGTAAAGTTGTTATTCGTATGGTGATATACTTATATGAATAGTCCACTTTTGTTTAAAAATGTTTATAAATTAAATATTATGCAACTCTGCCGACGCTGCAATTTATTTTTGAAATTTTAGTTAAATTTTTATTACCAAAAGTAATCATAATTGTAACATATTTTACTGTGAGTAATATGGATTATATTTGCAGTTTTTATTTTCTATAATTTCAGCATCAAAGGTTATTTCTAAACTAAGTCATAATAGTTACAAAAAAAAAAAAACCCTATGTTCTCCACGTCAGCAATATGTATAGATCCCATTATGCCCCGACCTCATTCGGTAATTTATTTTATACTAAATGTTAAGTTACCTTTTATTTTACCGCTACGACACCTGTAAATCATATAAAAAATAAAAATGTATAAGTACAAAAACTCTAGGTTTGATGAAATATTTCCAAATCGTTAAAAAAAAAAAGAAATAGTAAAAACAAAAAAAATTCTTACGCCACGTACGCCGCCAAACCGAGCAAAAGAATAATTTTAATATTTATCATAGTAACAGTTATAGTGTACTGTTTAATTGCACTAAAATATGCAGTGTAATTTCAGTACTTATAAGACCAAAGTCAACGACACGACTACAAGTGTTTAATACAATGTAGGGGATACAAAAGGTTTTAAGTATTTTTGCATAACACATTAATACAGGTGGTTTGCACGCATAAATTACACATTAACCTTTGTTTTCAAGACAATATAACTGTCTACAATAACACCCACGTTATTATGAGCATCCTTTTAACATTATTGTCTGTATCAATTTGTTGTTTATTACAGTGTGAAATAGTTATAATAAAAACTATGTATTTACTTAGAGCAATAAATTAATATTTTTTTATTGAGTTTTTAGTCAGAAATCACGTATAAAAAGTTATTTTAAAAGACGAAAAAAAAACTCCATCACATACTCAATTTGGAGATTTCGCCACGTTGATAATAAATTAATTATTTAATGGATAAATATTTCCATAATTTAATTTTCAAAATGTTATCGATTTCCGTTTTGGGAAAATTGTATTTTTAGGGTCAGCTTTTTGCTTAAAATAGCAGCATAATAGCTTACTATTGCACAATGGGTTAGCATCCAACAGTTTAAATTTATTAATGATTTAAAATGTGTTGTTGGTATACATTGGTGTATGGTAAAAACTTTTCAATATTTATGGGTTGGCTTTATTGAGTTTAGTTTAGTCATAGAATGGGTAGAAAGAGTTTTCATATTTAATTGTTAATAATATAACACAATATTATAGGGCTCGCTATTGTGGTATTCTTAAGAATTATAAATTGACATGCATGATAAAAAGAAATATGAAACATAAATTATAGTTTTTAAATTTGAACCGAAGAGGAGGAGGAGACATATGAGCTAGGTGTAGACTATAGACTATAGTGTATACTTAAAACAGCTAAAATTCGATCACATTTAACAAATCTCTCGTTTAAAAAAACCCTAGAAATTTATGTATTTCGAAAACACTGCCTATAAGTTTAAGGTGTTTGTACCCAGTACCCTCTGCCCCCACGTTTAAAGTAATACAAACAAAAAAATCAACTGTAGGTATGAATAATAACTATTGAACATTATAAAAGAAAAATTTTAAATTTCATGTAATGTAAAAAATCACTTTAGCCGGGTATCGTTTAATGAAATTTAGCATACTTGGAAAACACCTAAGTACACATTTTGTGCGACTTTCCAATTTTTCATCGCACCGGTGTGCTAAACGCAAATGCAAATTTTATATATTTTCTTGAAGTTAGATGGTAAAAATTTAAGTTTCCAATGTTGCTTGCCGTAAAGTAAGCAACTACTCAACCTACGCCGCCTAGCTTTGTTATTTATACAATTTAATATAGTAATGAAATTCAGCAAAATCATAAAAATGTAGAAAAAACTTAAGCAACATGTAGATATAACTACACTGTTATATATTATAAAATAATTAAATATCTAATACACCTAAGACAATGTTACCAACATGAGCGAATACAACAGACTGAGTCTGAATGGTTCAAAGACAAACTGTTATCTTCAATTATTGGTTCTTGTTTTCAATCAATTTCAACCATTATAATCTGTTTAAAATATTACATTAGACAACTTTGAACATAAATAAATTATGCTATGGAACGAATAAATAAATAAACGGTCTGACCGAAATTGTAACGACTCCAGCGATATTTTTGCATATGAAACAATAGTAGTACCATAATGGCTATAATATATACATAATGCAGCTGAAAGAACAAATCGTTAACAATTTTGTTGGAACTTTTTATTTGGTCACGTCAAACATGAGCGCAGAAAAATGTTTCAGATGTTTTTCAGATCGACTCGCTGTCTACCGAGTACAATATAATATACATACAATATATTTTTTTTAAGTGTTTCTATATTTTAACATAAACATGTTTTAAATTCGAAAAAAATTATCAGTTTATGTCAATATTTTGATGAATACCCATTTGCTCTAGGATCACTGTGATCCTAGTATGTTTTTAATACTTAAGTAAGAGTAGTACAAGTTTTAGGTTTTAGTTAACTTTAATTTTTTAGATTTTTTTTGGCCAGTCAAAATCGAAAACTGATACATACATATTCGAAATCAACAAACCCAAAAACATGGAATTTAACCACATTTTTTTCATAATTAATAACATTTATCTCTGGTTATAAAAAGTTCCTAAATTGGGCAACCTCTGTATTATAGGGTGAAGGAAGATATTTTCGTGGCACAAGCAATTTCGTGTTAGGAAATTGTCTTGAAAATCACACTGATTCTTAAAACACAGTTATTTTAACAATCAGTGTGATTGAAGACAATTTTCTAATAGGGAATTACGCGATACGATCAACAAACTATATCACGAAATTGCTTATGCCACGAAAATACCTTCCTTCACCCTACTATGTTTATTCAGGATTTAAATTGATTTTCATATAGATAAGATATAAAACAATACAGTCAATTATAGTTTATCTCGTTTTACATTTTTTAAAGAAAACTTGTTTCTTTACTAGCCACCAAAAGAAAAAGAACTTAAAGATGCGGGTGCCGCAACTTAACTGGTTTCATCAGCTTCATCAGAGCATCAGCCACCTCTCATTACCTGAGGCTTTTTAGGGTTAGCTGAACCCTGTAATTTTTTTTTTACAATACAATTTTGAGTACAGAAAGACGAAATTCGCTTATAAATTTTGGTTTTACTTGAATTTGGATGTTTATAAAATATAACAAAGTATATATGATACTTTCGATACGAAATCACAATACTAATTATTTAAAAGTTGATGATTACAAATTTGAAAGGGTACAGAGAGGCACCTATTACCTAGGGGCAGAGATCAATGAAAATGCTAATATCCACGAAGAAGTTAAAAAACGACTTATGGCAGCAAATAGATGCTACTATTGTCTAATGCCACTATTCAAATCACGACTACTATCAATAAAGTCTAAAATAACGTTATACAAAGTCATAATTAAACCAATTGCTCTATATGCATGTGGTACATAAGCCACGACAAAATCGGACGAAGGAAAGTTAGGAGTGTTTGAAAGAAAGATATTAAGGATAATCTTCAGTCCAAAGAGATATAACGATGGAGAGTATGAAATGAGAAACAACGAAGAATTGGATAATCTCTATAAGGAACCTACCATTATTAGGTCCCTGAAGAGCACGAGGATAAGTTGGGCGGAGCACGTATGGAGATCGGAGGGAATGATTGGATCTATAACTAAATGGAAACCCGACATTAAGAGACCTAGATGATGCCCTAGACAAAGATGAATGGATAGAGTACAAGAAGATTTGAAACTTCTGAACGTAAGGAACGCAGAAGAATGTGCAAACGATAGAGAGACAATATGTTGTTGCGGCGATGGGCCTTAAAGGCCTGCAAAAGCCCAGAAGAAGAAGAAGGGAAAATCAGATAATTCAAAAAAAGTCATTCTAGTTTTTGACGAAGTTTTTGTAAGTTAAAGTTTAAATGTAAACACAAAAACCGTAACGGTCTTGAGGATTTTGGCAATGACTTTAAGTAAATACATCAGAATAAGCAAACCATGTTTTGGTATTGATGATTCAATGATTGGCTGATAGTATACATCAACATATATATATATATATATATATATATATATATATATATATATATATATATATAGGGTAAAATGTTAATAAGAAATGTATTTATTGTTAGGAAAAGAACTAGCAAAAATTATTCTTAAAACCATTTTACTCCTCGAAAATGCTGACATTAAAGTAGTAGGGATTACAAGTGATGGAGCATCCACAAATCGAACTATGTGGAATGCATGAGGTGTAAGTGGTAAAGCTGACAATTTTAAAAACTGGTTTGAAAATCCCTTTGACCCAAAACGTCAAGTGTATGCATTTGCTGATGCACTACATTTGATAAAAACAATAGGAAATCGATTATTTACAAAGAAAACATTTAGAGTAAGTTTTTCTTAATTATAATTATTTTTATTCAATACAAGTACTATTAATTAGTAGGTACATCCCAACAAACAATGCATAAAATGGAGTTGTTATGAAAAGCTTTTTTTTTTTATGACTCCAAAAGTTTGTCCAAAAATTACGAAAAGTAATTTTGATTTGAACAATTTAACAAAAATGAAGGTCAAATTTGCATCACATGTATAATACATTCCACCGTATTAGTAGTTAATAATATCAATCACACATTTTCATTTATTCTGGTAGCAATATTTTTAATACATAATATGTCGTAAGACAAAAAGAAATGAAAATGGTAAACTTTTTACCATTTTTAATTTAGCCTGGTCTGCATTAAATGTTTTAGTCATTGTATTGTTATTTAATATCATTATGTTATTCAAGAATTTAATTTGTGCATTATTGTCATGTAAAAATCTGTTCCCTAATATTAACGAACTTATAATACCTTCTAATACATATACGGTTACATTAAATTCTTTGTTTTCAATCCAAACGTTTATAGCTGATTTTCCGTATAGTTGTAAGGGCTTATTATCTGCTCCTGTTATTAGCATATTTTCAACTTTTTCTATATTGTTTGTCTTTGCTAATAATCTTTTTAGAAAGTTCAGATTTGCTCCTGTGTCTATCGTTACTGCTATTGCCGTTTGGTTTAATGTTGCCATAATGTAAAGAGCTTTTGCGTTCGAATATAAGTTTACAGACTGAATGTGTTCTTTTTTCTTATTTTGACTTTTCTTTAAGATCTGAATGTCATTATTATTTGTTATATCTTGATATTTTAATTTTGCTAAGGTTGAAGGTATATGCGTTCCTTAGAACTAATTTAACACTCTTCTTTTGGTCATGTTGAACGAAGGCTTCTTCAGTATTCTTCGTCCTCTTGATTGAAATTGGTGATGTCTTCTGTTTTTTTTTATCCACCAATCATTGAACACTTTAAGCATTATACCGATTTTACCTACCCTTTTTTTTTTTTAAAGGGGAAAAAAAAGTTATATTCATTTGATCTCTTGTGAAATCTTATTTTGATTTTTACTAGCTTTTGTTTAAGAAGGTTTGTATCCCTTTTATTTTAGCTTTTTAGTGGGTTTTCTCTTTTTTTATGCTTTATGTGGGTTTGCTCCCTTTTTCATGCTTTATGTGGGTTTGATCCCCTTTTTGTTTTTTATTTTTATAAAAAAAAAAGTTAAGTTACTTTGTATT